AAAAAAAAAAGAAAGAAAATGGTATATAATCTGAGGTTTATGTCAATTAATGATGATCAAGTCAGCTACTTGGTACAATGGAAGATTTTCAAAAGATGTAATACATGGGTGGATCCTGCCTTCAAACAACTTAAAATCCAGTTTGAGACAGGTCGATTGTGAATAGTCAAAGAGCCATAACAAACAGAATGTGAACTAGATTCCAGCCACAGTAAGGAATGGACAGAAAAAGGCTTAAACTATAGTGAGAAATTTGGAAACATATTGTAATCACTTCCTAACAGGGCAGTGGAAGTGTCATCAGCACTGACAATGACTCTGTCCTTGACCGAACTTGAGTCTGGCTCTGCAGAGCCCTCCTTTCAGGCCCCAACCTTGACCTAGGAGAGCTGCAGACTCTCAGCACTAACGAACCCTCACATAGTTTCCAATAGCTCCAGGCCACATCCTAGGATGAGAACTCCAGCTCTCTTAAGTTCCTGCCTGAGAAAGCTCGATGCTGTTCCAACACCTGACTATAGGCCCTGGACCTTTCTTTTCTTAAAACATTTGCTTTCAAAAACTTGCAGTTGTAAATCCTACTTCTGTCCTTTTGTGGTGTATCTCTTACAACCCATGTCTTTTTTAAAGACCTGGAAGCCATCACTTTGAAATGTAACCATCAGAAAGATAGGGGGCCAGGCGCAGTGGCTCACACCTGTAATCCCAGTGCTCTGAGAGGTCAAGAATGGAGGATCCCTTGAAGCCAGATGTTCAAGATCAGCCTGGGCAACATAGACCCTGTCCCTAGAAAAGAATTAGAAAATTAGCCAGCCATGGTGACCTGTGCCTGTAGTCGTAGCCACTCAAGAGGCTGAGGCAGGATGATCACTTGAGCCCAGGAGTTCAGGGTTACAGCGAGTTCACTGCACTCTAGCCCAGGCAACAGAGAAACAACCTATCTCCAATGAAATTAAAAATAAAAATAAGAGAAAGACAAGTCTCTTGTCTTCTTGTTTCCCAGTCTTTGTGGGAGACCAGAAATCTCCCCTCAATCAGCATCAGTTAGCAAACACAGGTGCCCAGTCACATCAACATCCCCTTAACATCCTTCAGCACTTTTCCTTTAGCATACTCCAGCATTTAAAAAGCCTCCCAGCCAGGCACAGCAGCTCACGCTGGTAATCCCAACACTTTGGGAAGCCAAGGTGGGTGGATCACGAGGTCAGGAGTTCAAGACCAGCCTGACCAAGATGGTGAAACCCCCATGTCTACTAAAAATAAATAAAAATTATCCAGATATGGTGGCAGGTGCCTGTAATCCCAGCTACTTGGGAGGCTGAGGCAGAGAATTGCTTAAACCCAGAAGGCGGAGGTTGCAGTGAGCCAAGATTGTGCCACTGCGTTCCAGCCTGGGTGACAGAGTGAGACTCCATTTCAAAAATAAATAAATAAATAAATAAGCCTCCCACCTTTTGTTTTGATACAATTGAGCTCAGGTTAGCAGTTCCCTCCTCTACTGCAATTTTACTAAATAACGCCTGTCTCCCTGACCTTTAATTTAGTGTCTGGTCCTGTTTCTCTTTGATAGCACCCAAGGGAAACTGTGACTTCAACTGTAGTAGGAAGCTCTAAGGAGTGATGAAGTTCCATTTCAGAGGGTCCTGGTTTCGTCCTGCAATAAAGCAGGAGGTGGACATGTGGACGAAGGACCCTTTCAAGGCCTTCTCTTGGCAAAATTGTCAGGACATTGGTAAAATATCTCTTCAGGCACCTCGGGATTAGAAGGAAAGGGTCAGGCAACAAACACAGTCCTCCAAGTGAGTAGAGAAGTGCTTTTATGGTAAATAAACACAAGCCCGATCCTGACTCTGCTTCCCTCTTGCTGGGCAACTTTAGACAAATTGCATAACCTCTTCCAAGGCTCAGTGTTCCCATTCTGCAAGAAGAAGGGGTTTTACTAGATGCCGTTCCAGTTCCCTTCCAGCCCTGATACATTATGATTTCCAGGGCCCCCATGTTTCTGAATTAGCTGAAAAGCCCCTCCTGCTCACAGCGTGGATGGTTATGCTGAAATGCCTGTCGTCTGTGTGTTAAGCTGGGAGAGGAGCTGTCTACTGTGTGCCAAGAAAGAGCTCTCGCACCTCTTCCAGGGCCATATGTGGCCAGGATCCCCTGGGAAAGCAAAAGCACATATGGTTGCCAAAGAGTCTAACTTTGTGACTCAGAATTTGCCATCTGCTAAACAGCTTTTAATTGAAGCTCCAAGAGGCAGAAGCTGGCTGGAAAAATCTTGCAAGTAGATCCAATAGGATTATCTTCCCTAAAAGAGGTTTTTCTATGTTTAATTAGTTGGAAGCCATTTTGTCACAGACAGATTATTTTAGATGTCAGTCCCTTTGGTGCCCTGTTCTCACCCCCCGTCCCCCCATGTTTGAGCGTTATAGATTCTTTTTTTTGACAGAGCCTTGCTCTATCACCCAGGCTGGAGTGCAATGGCATGATCTTGGCTCATGGGTTCATGAACCTCTGCCTCCCGGGTTCAAGCAATTCTCCTGCCTCAGCATCCCAAGTACTTGGGATTACAGGTGCCTGCCACCACGCCCAACTTATTTTTTGTATTTTTAGTAGAGATGGGGTTTCATCATGTTGGCCAGGCTGGTCTTGAACTCCTGACCTGGTGATCCACCCACCTCAGCCTCCCAAAGTGCTGGGATTACAGGTGTGAGCCACTGCGCCCAGCCTCACAGATTCTTTAGTTAGTATCAGCCTCTGACTTTTTTTTTCTTGAAGGCTACACTGCCCATCCTCTGATGGCATCCAGCGTTCCCAAAGTCCTTTCTTCACAACTCAGGATACAGGTGAACCATTTCAGCCTGGACAGAGAAGCCAAGTAGAACCAGTTCTCAATTTTTGGTGTCTGAGCTCATTACCACGTACTCAGGAGCCACAGACTCATGGTCCCTTTAACCTACACCCAGAATCATCAGGCAGACCTGGGCCTGAAGGGCAGTACCCACCAAGGGAAAGCCCAGCCCCTCCAGGGGCAGTATGTTAACCCTTTGCGTTCAGGGCCTTAACATGGCCCAGACTGGCTCCATCTGCTGCTAGCAGGAGACGAGTGAAGGAATAAGTCCCCAGAGTCGGGAGCTTCCTCTGCCTGGGGGCTTGGACTGCTGCATTTCCTTACCTTTTTTCAGGGGGCACATTGTGAGATTGTGGTATAACCTCAAATGGTTACAGTCAGGAAGTGGCAGCTTGGTATTGGAACCAAGGTCAGATGTGGCTGCAGCAAATGAAGATGCTGTTCAAAGTGCTTCTAGCCTTGCAGCGGGGTCAAATACTCAGTATCAACCCGCAAATCGGTAACATTATCTTCATTTTAATGTTTTTATTACAGAAATTACCTTCATGTTAACCTTTTGATTATAGAAAATTTCATAACATAAAAATGGAATTAACGAATCCCTATGTGCCCATCACCCAGTTTCAACAATTATTTACTCAAAGCCAACCTTGTTTTACCTGTATCCTCACCAATCCCTGCCCAC